GAGCAGCTTCCTGAGAGTCTAGTTCAATTTTTATGGGACGGTTTTTTCCAGCGGTTACTCCAGGGCCTAATCGAAAATATTTTAGCGTCTTTTGGTGTATTGAAGGCGATACAGTTTGTAAGATTTCCTTAACCGTAGTTTGATCATCGTCTCTGGAGGATTCTTGCACGCCGATTAGCAAAATGTTTTTGGACCGGACGAGGCGTTCTTGAGTCTCAGTAAACAGTTCGTTAGCGTTAGTTGGTGCGGAGTTGTTTACTTTTGTTTCTAAGTTGTTTACTTTAGTTTCGAGCAGCGTATGTTGCGTTTGCAGTTGTAACACGTCCTTGTGGCATTGGTGAAGCATTGATTCGTGGGCGGAAAGAGTTTACATAATGCCCTCTTTCATCCCTCTTAGCTCGTCCAACAGTATTTTAAAGTGGCTAGTATTTAATGGTTCATTTTCAACGTTTTGCGATGGAACCATCGGTGTCGGGGGAGTGGACAAACATTTGAAGCAGCGCGGGAGATCGCGATCTTTATCGCCTGTATTTTGCGGCGGAGCGCAGCACGTATTACAGGTCCTTCGAAAGCATACTGAACAAACGCAAACAAGGGAACCTTGCAGGATCTCGTGCCTGCATACGTAGCATGACGTAGGTACCGAGGTAGACGGCATTGCGGCAGCGTTTCGGGTTCAAAGTCCAACTTGCGAGATTTTTGCTGGAGTTTTTCCTGTTTTTCTCTTTACTTTGTGGAAAGTGGTCAGTGAAAAGTTGTATGTTGCTGGTTCGCAGGTTTGCAGTAAAGTTGCAAGTCTTTTTTTGTAATAATTTGTAGTTTACTTACAGATTTTTTGCATATTTGTACGGAGCTGTTTATTTTTCACCTGCTTGTGACCACTGCGAAACCTAACCTTGACATTGAGTTGTTATAAAGAAATGCTTCTTTTTTTCCATGCTGCCGGTCATCTTTCCTATGCTAAATCACTCCATCTTTATTTAGAAAATATTCTAAAACTTCAAAATCAGATCTCTGAGGAAGAATATTGCACGTTTTTTACAAAAGGAGCCTTTACAGTTAGAAGAACTGACAAACTCTGGTCTGGGACATGGACATATATGATAATAGAGCAAGAATGAATACGTTCTATATTCTATAAAAACTGTAGGAGGTCTTACTCAAGGAAGAGGACTTACTGGAAACACATTTTCTAGGTGGATATCGTCTATGCCCCAGTGCTCCCTAATAAGTGATACTTAGTATTGAAAAGTTTGCAAATGTCGTACCAACTTTTTCAGAACAGCATAAAGAAGTTTAAAGTACTATAAGGATTTAAAAACATTGCTGGATTGGTTTTCAGAGCACACACCCTTCGACAAAAATAAAAAGGCAAAACTTTTATTAAATTTTGTGTTAATGAAGTGAGTAGGTGCCTGTACTTGTATATGACCATATGACAAGGTCACAACTTTTGTACCGAATTTCATAAAAAATACAACTGGTCTAACTCTTTGAAAAGTGCGATTTTGGAACCAAAATTTGATACTGTGCCATACGGACTTTAGTTTCAATAGTATGTTTCGGTTTCCATAATATTATTTGAAATTATTATTAAACGAGTAGCAGCACATTTTGGCAAGAGTATTATTCACTTATTTTTGCGTTCAACCCGTTACCTAAAATATTAAATCATACCTAGTGATTTGTATACAATTTTACACACTGGTTTCATATAACAACTACCATATTTCTTTTATAAAAACATTCAATTAATTTGTGTCAGCGTTAATAAAGTCGAATTTGCCAAAAGCAGTTTAATAGAATCGAAGCCCAATCCGCCCAATTTTTATAAGCCCATAACTTTTTTGTTTTTAGACCGATTTTCAAAAACAAAAAATGATTTTGTAGGTATTTTTATTGGCAACAATTTTGTTCTCCTGTAGGTTTTCAAAAAAATTTATAGTTTTTGAGATATTCCCAAGGAACTAAAAAACACAATTTTTTGAGTTTAAATCCCGATTGGGCAAGTACGGCCCATGCGATTTAGTGCGATTTTCAAGGAAATATTGTCGACCACCTAAAGAAGGTTTCCTGAAAATTTCAGCTTGTCCCAAATTTGTTCCGGATTGGACCCCTAGTTTTATTGGCCTAGTTTCAAACCTGTTTTGAACCAATGTCAAAAAATTGGATGCCAGAAGTAGAATTCCACTTTCATGACATCTTTCGTAACCTATTTATTGCGTACAGTACAGGCTGTGGTACAGGCGATGACGACAGTTGCTAGGCAACCTGACTTCATGAAAGTAGAATATTAGTCAAGAATTTCGGGATCCCAGCCCTGATGCGCTCGACGCGATGCGGCATCCGCGGACGCGTCGACTTTACGCGGCTTTTTTAGCTATCTTCCAGACTCCAAAGATAATAATAAGCGTAGTTTAGCGAGAATTTTAACCCAGTAGTATGTTCTATTTACTTGGGATACTATATTTTAGCGATCATATGGCTGACATACGTCATAACATAAAACTCGGCGGTGAACATGTCCATCCTACGAGGGTTAGTTACTGGTTGTAGTATGTCAGTGCATCCTTTTCTTATACACGAAAATAAGCATATGGGTCAAATAGCTGACTACGATTACCGACAATTCTTTCCAATATATCTATGTATATTGGAAAGGATTGTTTTTCCCCATTTTGCCATGGTTCTCTCTGATTTTTTTAGAGGTTTTTTGCAAAAACAAAAATCTTCCTTTGTGCACATAAGTTTAATTTTATTTTTTTTTTGGCATGGGGTCCCCATGAAATTCAAAAATTCGACAATCTATCGAAAATTTTCACTAGAGAAATAATATTGAAACTGGAAGACGCAAAATTTTGCAAAATTCAATTAACCCAAATAAACAACAATGATGGCGTCCTCTTTTAGAACCTTTTTCAAATATCTCCAGCTGTCATTTGGGTAACTATGACGTCATGAATCGTAGTATGGTAGTGTGATGTTCATAAAATACGTCTAATTTATGGCACTTGTTGGTGAAGTACGGACGCATGTTGTATTTCTTTTTGTTTAGATGAAAAGTTTCTGAATTTTTACATTTTTTTTCCGTTTAACTTGTTTTCTGTCTCATATTGTAGTATAACATACCCAGGTTCGCTCAGTAAGATTGAACGATGAGAATTTTTATTACCTTTTAAACAACAAATCTTCTGAAAAATGAAATGAAAAACAAATAGGACCTACGTTGTGGATACTTACTCAAATTTACTTACTGGACATGCGCCCGACATAGCAAATATTTGGGAAATTTAAGAGAAGCTGTAATATGTAAAAGAAACGCAAAATTTGTGAAACGCCTCGATTATTTATAAAGAAAAACATACCGTTCTCGACCTAGAATTCTCGAGGAAAAAGAGAACGGCAGAGAAAACCTCGATTCCCCAAAAATCGAAACATACTGTCATTTAGGTGAATAATTGTGAGTCAATAATTCAATAATTTAAGGCAATAAAAGTTCAAATTAGGTACCGTCCCTGTTCTTGTGCTAAAATTTCAATTACACACTCAACATTCAATCAACACTACCTATATTCCAAACTGAAGAGTTTTTGGTTAGTTAGTCAGCTTCCCAGCAGGTAATGAGATCCCATACGGGAAGCTACTCAGCTATAGCTGTTTTTGAGCCAATATCTCTAGATTGATTATTTCAATTTGCTAGGATATTCTCTCGACAGGGTAGGAAAATGTTAGTAAATTCAACAAGGCTCTAATGCACGCTCTAAATCCAAAAATCAAAATCCTAGCACAAAAAGACAGCACATAATTTCTTAGGTTTTAATTTACTCTTTATCTGTGTTGTTTACAGTATGAAACGATTTTGGTTAAATACATAAACAATGCACATGTTATAAAAAATTGTTATAAATAAACAAAAAAACATAAAAATTGGAAGAAAAAAAAAATAATAATAATAATAATACAGTAGTGTCGTGATAATCCGGATCAATTAAAACCAGACCAAACAGGATTATCAAATTATTCGGATTACTAAGGCATGAATGAATAATTACAGACGCGCAACACGTTTTCTAAGGGCCCAGAGCATTTTCTTCTGTCGTCTAGTTGCGTATTCTTCTGTGTCCCGTTCGCTTCGGTACCTTCGTGTTTCTGTGGGGCGCTCGAACGCGGCGGATACATGGTTGCAACATTTTACTTTTATTCAGTAAACGTTTTTCAAAAAAATTGAGTTTTGAAGAAATAATATTTTTAATAGGTGGTTCTTCTCAATATGTTCTTGATAAACTTGTTTTTTGATTGAATTTGTTTTTATATTTAGTTTTTAAAAACCTCAAATATATAAGTAACTTTCGTACACTCACCTCCCACCCCAACACCACAAGAAAAATACCTAAAAAAAGCATGACTGAGTCCCAAAAAAATGTGTGCGTCGGGCCCCAAAGGTCCTAAGTCCGCCACTGTTATGTACTCATGAAAAGCTTTATAAATGCACTTTTCAGACAGAGGAGAAGCACTAATAATATTGTACTTCTAAAGTACTTTATTTAAGCACCATTCAAGTACTTTATTAGGGTGCTTTTAATTCACTCTAATTATACTGGGTATCCACACAGTGAGGAATCATTCGATACCTGCCCAGGTGTGGCAGAGGAAAATACAAAGTTTGTTTGGCTTTGCCTGGCACATCTTACGAAAATTATTTTAATTCTACAGGTTATGTCAAAAATGCAGGATCAAAAGCGACTTTTTCTTTGATGGAAAACTTTTTGATTTTGCACACCTTGTTGCATTAAAAACTATTTTCGTAAGAGTGGCCAAGAGAATTCAAGCAAACTTTGTATTTGCCTTTTTTAAACTGTAACACCTGAGCGGGAATCAAACAATAGGTCACTATATGGGCACCTGTTGAACATAGAGCAAGAATATTTCAAATTTTGCCTTTTTGTATAAAATGTTGTTACGGGAATCATCCTGATATCAACAAAAATAAGAAAAACAAATAAATGTTTAATTTCACTTTAATGAAAAAAAAAAAACACATTTCTGTTCAAATATAATTCCTCAAATAATTCTTTGGTAGCTGCTTATACATAGTGGATATCTATCCTACCTGGAAAAGACAAAGTGTACTTTAATAGTATATTCGTCTCATAAGAGCCAATTTTATAGCACGCGCGGATCTAGGAATCGGGCCACGCAGCTGGGAGTTTTCTATTTTGGTCAATATTTAATAAATACTTGGAAAATAAAAAAATAAATACCTGTTCAAATTTTTAATTTTATTTTGTTAAGTTTGGCATACACGTCACAGGCTATTGTTCAATCAATACAAAAAAAATAAAAATGCATAAAAAAGCAGTGGAATATTTTTTCTATGATAAGAATGGTGATAATTGTGAACATTTTAATAATTTTTGAAACATCAGAACAATATACCAATATAATTAGTTACACATAAAATGTGAAAATTACCTGATCCCTGATTCTACTAATTTTCCCTTGTTTGCCTTTTTGCTCGACCACCATCACGATCACAGGCATTTCGTAAATATTTTTTTCTACTGACGTTTCATAATAGCAACTTTTCGATTGTCATTTCAGTTTTGAAACGACATTCTTTTAGGCACTGAGTGCGTGAAAGTTACTTTTAGGCACTCAGTGCGTAAAAGTGACTTTTGAATGCGTAAAAGTGACTTATGAGTGCGTAAAAGTAATTTTTAAGCACTAGTGCCTAAAAGTGTCATTCATTATTCAGAAATAAAAAACACACTAAACACATATTTGAATTTTGTTTTGTATTTATTATGAATATTGAAAATGGAATTACTGAATTGAACGTTTGGGTTACTCAAAACAGAAGTTTGTGTTATTACCTACTTTCTAGGATTTTAATTATTGATGTCGAATTTTGAAAAGAAAATCGCATGAAAAGTGTCAGGTGTCAAGTAAAAGCAGGTAACAAAGATTTTGGGTGTAATCGACTTATTCACATGAAATAAAATTGTGTTTTTTTATTATAAAATGCCAGTAGAAAAAATCTTGTATACAATACGTTACGAAACGATGTCTTTTAGTCACTCGACGTGTTGTCCAACTCGGCTTTGCCTCGTTGGACAATTTTCACGTCGCGTGCCTAAAAGACGCTCATTTCGTAACTTATTGTATAAATAGCTATTTTGTCACTTGGTGCACTTCTAGCTCTGTGGCGTTCCTGGACAAAGGGTTTTTTCTCACGGCAACTGAAAATATACCACAGGTTGTCAACACATGGATGATGAAGGACTAGCTGTACTGGGTGATTGTGCACCCACGCCTATCTCACCTGTTTGAAGAGATACTTAGAAATGTCAAATGTGAAAGTTGTAGGTAATATCAGAAACTTTGCAACGAAGTTAGTTACAAGTATACAGGATGTGTCGCAAAAGTATGGCAAAGCAAAGTTAAACTTTTTAAAATGGAACACCTCATATATTACTTATTGACCTATTGGATTAGCATTTCAAGCTTGATTCCAAATATACCAAGTTTTTTAGGTTTATTCTTCATAGTCCGGCCTCTGAAAATCCAATTTTGAAGAGAAAATATGTATTTTTTACTTGAATGATTACTTTTATATTTTGCTGGTGGTCTCTATACCTACTTTACCTTTTTCAATAAAAATGCAATTATTCTACCCATTTTTTTTATTATTTTCTCCTGGACTATTAGGAATAAACCTTAAAAACCTAGTATATTTGGAATCAGGTTATTCCATTCAAAAAAGTTCAACTTTGCTTTGCCACACTTTTGTGACAAATCCTTTATACTTACAACTAACTTCGTTGAAAACTTTCTGATATTACCTACAACTTTCAAATTTGACATTTCTTAGTATCTCTTCAAATAGGTGAGATAGGTGTGGGTGCAAAATATAAATAATCACCCGATACATAGCGATGAATGCTTGATCTGTCCTTTGGTGTACAAACACCTGCAAAAAACTGTCTCCACTTTCAGTTTCATAGCTTAATTGCGTGTTCCTACTCTAGATGTCCGTAGGACAGCACTTTACCTGAAGAGTGGTTTAGTTGAACTCAATTATTGGTATTTGAACTTTCTCATTTAAAATTAATTGCTGTCATAAATAAAAAAATCTCTGCCAATTTGAACAGACAGACAGGCGGCGCGACAAAAAGTTTCAAAATCAACTAGAACCCAAAGATATATGAAATTTTTTGAAATCAGAGCAACTTTTTTTTAAATTTTTGCCACGATCACCATAGCTCACAATTACTATAATATAGTATTCGTGTGAGCTAATATTTGACAGTAATGCATTTCAAATGGGAATGTTCAAATACCAGTTGATTTCAACTGAACCACTAATAGGGAACTTGCACATTAAATTAAATATGAAATAAATAATAAAATACAATAACAATCATCCTAATAAGTGATGCAATTAGGAAAAGGATATAATACCTTATCTCTGGTTTTCAAAATCTTCAATTGAAAATACCAAATAATTCGAAATTCTTGACGAGATCAAAAACGTATTTCTATGGGTCCTGACGTCAAAGGGCAGTAATAATCTGGTCACACCGCTGCCACGCCATGTGCTGCTGGTGTTGTCAATGTCAAATCTATCATAAACGGCATACATAACAACATAACCATAATCTAAATCTACCTGCTCGCAGGTCACTGTCAACCAAGGACTGTGAACAGAATTTTGTTGCTGAGTGACGTCACACTAATCGGTCGTTTCAAATGGCGATGTTTCGAGCGTAACTTCCAATATTTATAAAAAATTAACGGCTGATTTTTAATGCTTGATATTTGGCATGACTATATCTTTAGTGTAGTACAACGCATTTTTGAAATAAAAAAAAATGTGCAAGTTCCCTATTGCACCTAGAACGTATCAGGTGTTCAAAAAAAAAACCAATCAAAGATTGCTTTGATTACGAAAACGTACATCGTATTACTGTTTCTTCATTGGTCAGGATTTTTGACATTACATTTTGACATTAAAGTTCATTGACAAAATTAAAGAAAAATATTGCTGAGATATATGTTTAAAAAACCAAAGCAATCTTTGATTGTTTTTTTAGAACACCCGATACAACTGGGCCTAACCTAAGAGTTTGATGTAAAATTAGTTCTTACCAAGTATTAACTTCATTATGTTTTCAAAAATACTGAAATTTTCTTTGGAATTTCTCCCAGTCCAATTGTACTTCATTGCTAAATCATTTTTTATAATTCTGGACAACATCCTTCTGGTGGTATCGACTACATCTTTTCCGCCTACTGTTTGTAGAAATAGGCACTAAAAAAAATATTTTTCACAATAAGGGAGAACTTTAAAAAATAATTATTCCTAAGAACCTTACAGTTGATTGAAAAGTATTGGGGTCACCCAGTGATTCATTTAATGTTTGCAATTCTTCTTTTGTTCCACATGGATGAAAGTTAGACTTGGCAAACTCTTTTCCTTCTTGAGCATTTTGTTGCTGACAGAGTAAAAGATATTTAATATCCTCGGCAATTTCTTCAATACGCTCCATCAGTTGTGGTAGTAGCTCTAAAAACATTATTTATCATAAAAAAAAAGTTTCACTTATAGTCTCACCTTCAGTTTTTGCGCACCCATCACATAGGAACGTTTTATTTTTGTCATCTGCCAGCTTATCACTGGCCAGCTTGTTTGTCAATGTTACGTCCACGTCCACGTCCGATAAGGATACAATATGGCTAGTATCAGTTAAATCAAAACTTAAATTATCCAAAATTTGCAGTTCTTGTTCAGAGTCATTAGAACTGATGGGGTTTGGATTTTTGATAGGCCTGAGTATCTTTAATTGCTTAGAAGGTGTCTCTTTGGGTTTATTCTTTTGTTGTGGAAATTTCAACGGTTGTGGAGAAGCTGGCAACTCGTCAGATTCATCACTTTCAGCACTTTCTACATTAAACACTTCGTAACGCCTATTTTTTTGAATGTATCTTTTTTTATTATTTGGCAGCTTTATTTCAGCATCAGTTTCATCATCAGTTTGGGACACACTCGAGCAATCTTCAAGTTTCTTCATCTTTTCCATAGCCTGGGAATATAGCCCTGAAATTATAATTTAAAGAATTAGAAATAATCTATAACAATATTATTGAATTTGTTTTACACAAATTTCATGTAGGTGATCTTATTTTACTTGATTTATACTTAATATTAATTGGGCATTTTTCACTCAATTCAAAATCTATTTCGCCTTGATCAATAATCAGTTTATTAAGTTTGTTTTGATTTTGATATTTTGGCCAGTAGCAAAAAAAGAACGACTGTTCTTTAAATACCCAGCTTTCGGGTACAATTGCCATTGGCAGTTGGCCGTTGCACTCTTCATCTTTGAATTCAACTACAACATAGTAGTTGCTAAAAATAAATTAAAGATTATTGTAATTAATTTGTTTCTTACCAATTATTGAACTATGCAATGTAAAAGAGCAAAGCATGTAAAAATGTTATCTGAATTTTTCTTCGGAATCAAAACTCCTTTATGCAAAATATTTCCGCTAATGGGTTCCAAGATTTGATTATTTTCTACCGTAACAATATATTTAAACATCATGTAACTTGACGTAGGATAATCTACTAATGGTTGGACAATTTTTATTTTATTGCCAATACAGTATACTATGTTATCAGATTTAACAAAAAGTAAAGCCTTTAAGACGACACCATTTTTCAAAAATATGCAATTATCTCTTGGTTTGATTGAAACAAATCCATTCTTGTAATGGAATTTTTCATAAAATTCACAGGCACCCAAATTATTGTTCTTTATAATAGTTAATTGTTGTTTTTCTATTTCAGTTATGTTTTTAGATATTACTCTTTGGTCATTGTGAGTATTTATTCTTGATGATTGCCCTAGCTCTTTGGATCTTTTAATCACTTGTTCTATAGGCAAATGTGGTTTTCTGAGCATCCTTGTTAATGAACCCAAAAAATTTTCGAAAGTGAAGCAATTAATTGTATTAAGAGAACCAAATGCTTTTGCTTGCATTGGTAGATGGATAAGCGAATGGACATTGTAGACACAAAATGTTTTTCCATATATTTTAATTGAATGTTTCACAAACAATCGGAGTAATTGTTCTGCATATTCATTATAATGTTTATTTAATGTTTCATTCAGTAAAATGCTTATTCCAAAGCTCAATAACATAAAGTTTCCATAAATAAAGGTTGGCACATTTCCGTTTAGGACTACAGGACCAACATAGACCAAAAAGTTGCGTAACTCAGTGGCCTTCCAGTGTTCTAGTTGGTTAAGAAACTGAGGTTTTCTGTTAAATTCTACTGGCCAGTAATACTTTAATCTTTCGATTTCAATATTAATTTTGTTAATATCTTTAATCCCAAAAGATTTACCACTATCTCTCCATAAAAACAACATTTTCCTCATCACTCCTAAACATACACTGTACATGTAGTCACCTGGAAAATTTGTTACCATTTTCAGACCTAGTCTTTCTAATGGAGATTCGCCTTTGTGATATGTTTCCATGGATTTAGTAGAAAACGACAAATCGGTTCTTAAATTTGAATGAATATCAGTGAAAGTCATCCGTTTATCCAAGTATTCTCCCTTGACAAGGCAAAAAAAAGTTATGAGCCCTGACATTTTTAATGAAACACCTTGCAGGGGTGTCACAGCAAAATGCACGAATCACTACTGGAATCGATTTTTCCCAAATGTCAAATCCATTTTCTAATAAATATTTCATCTCATCTACTAGATTTTCAAAATATTCTTGCAAAGGCGGTTTGCTATTACCCATATACAAAGTCACAACGAATGGAACTTCTATAGTAGCTACTTTACAAAGAATTGGCCAAAATTGTTTCTTTGAACTTTTATGGAGGGGCACACCATCCACATTAAAAAACAGTTGAATGGTGTCACACTCAAATTTGTCATTGAAAACCATAGTTTTAAGTCCTTCAATCACACCAAAATGATAAAATTTTCCCAAGTTTGTACCAATGTTTTTAATATTCTTAACTACCCTAGGAGTTTTAAAAAGGGTTCTGGCATCTTGTGGCAATCTAGAACAATCCGGATTAGTCTTTATCCATTTTAATAGATCTGTCATAGCACAATGACTTATATTATATGTTTTTCCCCAATTTTGAAGGTATTCCTCAGCAGATTCACTTTTAATAGATTTCATGGGTTGGGCTTGGGCACTTGTATTTTCGAAAGCTATTTGACAAAATGGATGCTTTTGCATTCCTAAAATTCTTTTTAATGGACGGTTAATAACTTGGGAACTTGTACACGGAACGGTCTCAGGAGATGCAAATCCATTTGGATTATTTTCATTGGAATGGGTTAGTTTAGAAGATGTACCATATCTTTTTTCTCTGTTTTTTTCCAAATCCAATACTTTTACCAAGTCAGATACTTTTCGCCTTATATTCCGTTTACGTTGTTTCTCACTCAAACGCTTATAAATTCCACTGCAAATAAAGGAGAAGAAATAATAGTAGATTATATACCTAGGGACTAAAGTGACTATTTTTTTTATTCCGATGCGAAAAGTTTGTAGACCTCCCTTTGGTCGGGCTACAATTTGTCGAGGGATAAATAGACACTTTAGTCCCAAGGTTTATTTATTTATTAGGTACTATTTCATGTACTTTAGGTTAGAACAAACTAAGTTAAAGAGAAAATAGTTGAATGCCCGTACATTTTCATCATTATCGCATATTTAATCCCAATAGGTTGTCACTTTCTGACAAATTTAAATCAAAAAAGCAGCTGTTGACAAAAGTATCATGAATGGTAACTATTAACTATTATAGCAGCCCAGAACAATAATACAAACGAATAATTTTTTTACTTTGTGTAGTGTGTATTCTTATTAAATAAACTGAAGCTTGTTTTGTTAAACAAAATTTGGTACGTATTTTTTAAACTAAGCAATAGAAATGCAAAAAAAAGAAACATGACATTGAGCCAAGTGAATAAAATGTAGTAAATGCTTGTACTAGGGCATTCATGAGTAAATACTTAGGATTGAGTGAATAAAATATGGAGTATATTTGCTTTTACTTGAAAGACTCTACTTTACTGAATAGTAAATACTTTTCAGTGTTAATTACTTTTTATTCACTTGACTCATAGAATTTTTGTGTATTTTTGAAATTTTAACACTTTGAGGCTCTCGGTTAAAGCTTATCCGAACTCCGCTTCGCGTCGTTCGTCTAACTGCTTTCGCGTGCGGGAAAACTACTTTGCGGACGTATTAGCTAACTTTTCTTTTTGTTTAAGTTGTAGAAGCCACAATAATAATTATGAGGAACAGACCCTGTACATAGTTGATTTTTATAAAAGCTCAAGCCATTTTACCCTATTTCAAACTGCTTATGCAAAATGCCTAACTACATAAAGTGTGTTCATTTTAAAACTAACCACCCCTATTATCTCAGAGTTGAAAATTTTGGAAAAAATCCCTGTAAAAACGCCAACTATAATTTGAAGTGGGATCAGTTTTTATGCAAAATTCACCTCTCCCTTTTAAACCCCCTAGCCCCCAGAACCACCCATAGAAAATTCTATATGATCATCATTTGACACCAACTTTGAATTTAATTGGAGATTAAACTTAACTGGAATTTTCCTCTGAATTTTCAATTATGAATTAAATTCAAACTTAATTCAAATGATAGTTTATTAAAATTTAAGACAAGAATGTAAGATTGGTTTTCCTCTAGAATTAACAGTTTAGAGTTTAGGTTTGACAGCCTTTCAAAGTTGCAAAAAAGTCAATTTTCATTTATCAATATTTCCAAAACTATTGAACTTAGGTATTAAAATTTAGTACCAAAATGTATTGAATTAAAAACCCCTTCAAAATGATGTATCACTCGATCCCCCTTTCCATCTAAGATTTTCTAGGGGGTGGCTCTGAAGGCTGGGGGTTGAAAATATGAATTTTGCACAAAAACTCATCCTCAAATTATGGTTGACGTGTTTCAAGTATTTTTCAAAAATTTTCCAACTCTGAGATAATAGGGCAGAAAGCTTAAAAATGAACACCCTGTATATTCAAAAGCAGTTTTTCATCTTCCATCTCTACATGGATTCTTGAAGTACCTATAGGAAAATACAAAATTTGACAGTGCTCATGCAACTTGACAATAGGGCACCCTGTATACAAAACAAGTATACCTAGATTCCAAAAAAAAAAACTGTCAACTCCCATAGCTTGCCCAAAGTTTGAGTTATTTTTCAAGTTTTTTTATTTCCAAAAACAACAAAGTTAAATGTGGAGATGAAACTCAGTCTCTTCTAAAAATATTCCACACAAATTATAATAGTCACACAATAAGCAAATATACCGGGTGACAATGAAACTACTACCCTCAACAATTTTAAAATAAAAAGAATTGAATATATTTTCCGGTTTCACAGGAAATGGCATTGACTTTGTCATTTTAAATGGGACACCCTATATTATATTATCTTTTTTTTTGGACTCTCTGAACAATTTTAAATAACTTTTGTCTTACATACCCTATGTGAAAAATCGATAGTTTTTGAAATAGAGTGGCTCAAAAATATGTCGTAATTCCTTTTTGTTTGTATTTTATGTAAAAACTGCCATTTCCGGTAAAACCGGAGAAGACTTTAAATTGTTTTTATATTAAAATTGTTCACAATTTTCAACCCTATCAACAAACCGAGTTGCATATTTCTATCTCGAGTCGTTAAGAAATGCCGCCATGGGTAGTAGTTTCATTATCACCCGGTAGATATGTATAGGCAAGCTACCGATACCAGGAAAGCCTAACTGTAATAGTTGTTTTATACTTCTTATTCAGGAATTCAACTAAACTTAAAATTAAATTTTTCTATATAATTCTGTCGTTTATAATTCAAATTCAAATTCAAATGAATAAAACTGAATTAAATTAAAAGTTGGCCAACTTTCAACTAAGAATTAAAAAATGTGTTCTTAATTCGTTCAGGTTTCATGGTCGATGTCAATAAGAGCGTGTCGCAGGGGTATTTTTTGATTTTTTTCAGCTTTTAGAAAAATACCAAAAGAGATTCTATATTTTCTACTCATCTCATCTAAAAATTAATTTAATTTAAACAGGAATAAATTGAGTTAAAAATCCTTTATAACCTAGTTTAATCTTTTTTAAATTTAATTCTTAATTCAGTTTACTTCTTAATTTTAGAAGTATAAACCAGGCATTAAAAAATAGTCATTATGTAATTTACATTAAAATTAATCAATGAGATTTACCACATGTGTAAAAGATTCTTTCCACTGTATAGAGTTTCCAGGTACTATCTATTGCCTGTTCTTCTTTACGAATTATTTTTTCAAACTTTAAATAATTGTCCTTTATCGGGGGCCAATAAACCTCCTGTTTTCTTGGTGTAAGCCACTTCGAATTGACAACAGATACTCCACCACCATCACTCTCTTTGAATTCAATGACCGAAAACATGTTTCATCTCTTGATTGATGTCTTAATAAAAGGGTTATGCCCTCGGTTATGCCTATGTGCTTTATGCTCAGCTTTATGATTTGGAACTAACTAAAAGTACATAAGAATAAGGTATCTACTTGAAAAGGAAGGTAAGAAAAGAACCACCATTTTCATTACTACCAATAAGTAATTGATTTAAAAGCTAACTTAAATCCCTCAACTTTTATTGGAAAAAATAAATATGGACAACAAAATAATAATAGGCCACTTCCAGTACTTCCACATGCCAGAAATATGGCAAATTATGAAATTTTTTGACGCAGATATAAGGATGCAACGGAGAATGGAAAATATTTTGCAAGAGTAGATATAGTAGTATAATAAGGTAATTGAATAAATTAAATCTGAAGTCACTTTCCGAGCCCGCGTTCTATTTCCCAGAAATAGGCGTTTTTTTTTTTTGAAAAATTTTACTTACTTATGTTATTAGAATAACTTGCACAATAATTTGAAAATGTGGAAATGGCCTATGCAAAAAAACCTTAAATCATAGATGGCTATGATTTTTTATACGTATTTCCTGACCAATAAAGAAACAATCAAAACACCTCTTTGATTTATTTTTTCCCCTTTATAATATAATTATTTCAGTTGCCTAGGTGTTATAGTAGCCCCCAAATATTCAAGATTCCTATAAAAAACAAGATTTCTTTGTAGGTGATGGGTAAACATAAACCGCAGCAAAAACTTTACAGATAAGGGTTGAGATGCTCAGAATAAATTTAGTCCAAGAGCATCAATTCAATTCATTTTGCGTATAGTATTATTGTATTGTTCTGGATTAGGTACTTAATTTCTTGCATTAAATATTTGAAAGATCATTTAGAAAAATTGAAACATTATTTTAAACTGGTTGAGGTTTTATTTGGGATTGGATCGAAATAAAACAACAGAAGTCTGTTATTTCAGATTGTCGACGTTTCGCAATATATTATTGCATCTTCAGGACACTACAAAATGGTAAGAGAATGTTATTGTGCAGAGTCCTAACAACTCCAGTTATGTTTATAGTATTGGGAACTTACATTTGAGATTGACTTTCTATGTCATAACATGAACAATATACGAAGTTGTTAGGTAGGTACAGATTCATAAGAGACGTTACATTCACATACATGGTACAGTTTAAAACTTATCAAAAAATATCACAAAAACGTTATAAAAATAATCACACATTAAAACTTAAAAAGTAAATGATTTTAAAATAAAATATATAAGACAGACACAGCCAGCTGTTACTATTACAATAATAAATTAAATAGTGTTATCGTTCGTGGGAGCAAACAAAGAAAAACCAAGTAGGGAATGGCATCCGAATCAAAAAACACTAATATGAAAGCTTTTTTGTGATGATTATTTTGTTGTTGATAAAATGTTAAAATAGGCGTTACTTAAATTTTGTATATCTGTTCTTTTATTGACGCAATTTTTATCTTTTTGTATTTCGATCATCTCAGCAATTAGTCTTTTTCTGTAGTTAAATTGTGTTTGTAATATTGTGGTGTTGTCAAAGTCGAAGTTATGTCCTGTCTCTAGTTTATGTTCTACTAATGCTGTTGGGTTAGTCTTCAAGAGAAAGTTTTTTTGGTCATTTTGGTGTTCCTTCAGTCTTTGTTTCAAATATCTACCAGTCTGTCCGATATAGTTTTTATTACATTGAGAGCAAGGAATATTGTACACCAAATTTGATTTTAATTCCTTTTTAGTCTTTGATTTGGTTTTC